GGTTGCAGTGAGCTGAGATTGTACTCCTGTACTCCAGCCTGGGCTACAGAGTGAGACTCCATCCAAAAAAAAAAAAAAAAAGTATTAAATACTTTTTAAAGGCTAAAAGATGAGATTTAATAGTTAAAATTTATGAATCTTCAATAACGTAGACTATGGTTGAGTATGACATAGCTTTTTTTCTTTATTTATTTTTATTTTTTATTTTTTGGTAATACCAGGACATCATTTCTCTTTTAATAATAATAACAGGAGACGAGTGGGCCTCGACCTCTGTTTTCATCCCTACTTCTGGAGCTCCACCACACCCCATGCCTTCTGCCCTGTTCTGCATGTCCCTTTCTGAAAGGAGCAACCTGATCAGAGTTAGGGGCTAGATTTGGAAGTTGTTGTACTCTGGAATTCTTCAAAGGTATTTAGGAGTTGAGCTACACCCAAAGACCTGAAAACACCTCAGAGGATACCATGAGGAAGATTGCAAAAGTTCTGGCGGGATCAAGGCCTGTTAGCTTTCTTAAACATCTCCAATAAAGACTAATCCCTTTCTGTGCGCCTCACTTCTTGGTGCCCACATCTGTTCACATGCCCTTCTGCCCCTGGCCGTGCATGTCTTTTGTATCTTAGTGCCTTAGTCTCTTCTTTTGCTGCTTCATCTTCTACTTTTTCTCTACATTTTAAATTTACATTTCTCCATTTGTAACTTCTCTAACTCACTGTTTTCCTCAAATAGATTGTAAATTTTAATTATGTTCTTCATTAGATCTTGTACTTTTTCATAGAAATGTACATTTACCCCATCTCTGTTGAATACAGGTTGATATGGTTTGTCTCTGTGTCCCCAACCAAATCTCATCTCAAATTACAATCCCTATAATTCCCATGTGTTAAAGGAGGGACAAGGTGGGTAGTGATTGAATCACGGGGGTGGTTTTCCCCATGCTGTTATTGTGATAGTGAGTTCTCACAAGCTCTAATTGTTTTATAAGGCAATCTTCCCTGCTCTTGCGAGCTCTCTCTTTCCTGTCACCATGTGAAAGAAATCTTTGCTTCCCCTTCAACTTCCATCATGATTGTAAGCTTTCTGAGGCCTCCCCAGCCGTGTGGAACTGTGAGTCAATTAAACCTCTTGTCTTTATAAATCACCCAGTATCGAGCACTTCTTTGTAGCTGGGTGAAAATGGACTGATATGTAGGTTAAACATTTCTTTTCAGAAATATTTCTGTTTGAGGGAATAAAGAAAGTTTTCTACTTTTAAAATTTGGTTTGGTTATTAATTTCTATGATTCATGGCACCAGATTTATTAAAACGAAATGGCCCATTCATGACCTACATCTTCTAAAAAATCAAATCAAAATCACAAAGAATATACTAAAAAACATGCAAAAGAAAGATGAAAATGATAGGTAGTAAATTATTTTCATTTAAGCCTCCAAAGTTCATTATAAAACATATTTGTACCTGACCTGCTTACCATGTGGACACAAAAATTTATAGCAATAGCATATGAGTTGATCACTTCTTACATGCCTTACATCATTCACCTCTACACAAATTTTTAAAAATACATTAATAATAATGACCATATAAAAAAGTTACTAGAGCTACAGTGACTATCAGGTGTCCTAATTTAATCACAGATAAACATTATAATGTCCCATCAACCAGGAAAAAACACTTTCTATAATAATGAATGTGAAGGCCATATTTAGAAAATTGTGAAACAAAATGAAATTTATTTATAATCTACCTCCTTTGTCTTATTTTATTTCTTCCCTATTGACCAATCCCCATCAACAATTATAAATAAAACATGAAATTGATACATTCAGTGTGCCTTTTATAGATTATTATAAATGAGTTTAAGGTATACATTTTATTTGACATGCTTTCCCTTCATTAAAGCACAGACTATATTTGTTTAGATTAAATATTAGGAAATTCTCAAAACTGACTTCTTCACTAAACCACCAGAGGCTTGGAAAATAATCAGTTTTACTTTTATTTCTGAAATGCAGAAAATTCCTGAAACTTAAAAAGAATAATGAGACTCAGGGTCATAAATGTTACACTACTTCATATCACTTATTCTGTCCCTAAGGTATCAACAAGTCCACAAATCCCGTCTGGAAAGAGTAAAGGGGAGAATTGTATCCATGAGTGTACTGCAATAGAAGTTACTAGTTAATTCCCAATTAACAATTTTGGTTCTATTCTTTGCAGTATGGAAAGATTCTGAGAGCCCCGTTGACAGCATCTAATGGTGTCTTTCTATTTTCCTTGAGAGTCAAAAATAAGTAGCAATTTGATTTGTCCATCCGATTTTTTAATTATTCATTTGTATTACCTGCATTTTTCCTCCTTTCCATTTATGTAAAGTAAAATATTGAGGTTAATGTAACTCAGGGGTATCCCTTTCTCTGCAGAGTTGATGCATGGTTAATAGCACATGTGAAATAATTCAATCATTGGCTCCCTAAAAGCTATAAAGAGCCCTGACCACTCTTCCATGTACAAGCTTTGTTTTAGAAGTACACAAATCTCGTTTTTGGAGTTGGATGGGGAAGTCTGTGACATATAGTACACAGACTGATTCTAACAGATGGATTTTTCTTGAAATAGCTTCATTAGTTAATCATTTCTTTTGCATATACTTTTTTTTCTAGTTAATTGGCATAGCTGCCAGCTGGAGCTGTTAAGGATCCTCCAAAGAAGCTGATAGGTAGGGAGAAAATCCAATTGTCTCACCAATTCCAAGATGAAATGTCTATTAATTTCACAATACCCATTGTGTGTTTTTAAAGTAAAATGTTTAAAATAATATTTTCTCTTATTCTAAATACCTTATTTGAACTGTGTGAAAACCAAATCAATCAATGAATTATCTGAAAGAAACTTCAATGAATATCTGGAAGAAACGTTAGTAAATTATCTAGACTAGGGTTTTACAACCTTGGTAGTATTGACATTGTAGACCAGATCATTCTTTGTGTCTGTGTGGGGTCCGGTGGCAGTCTTGTTCTTTATATGCTGTTAAGAAGCATCTCTGGCTTTTACCCAATAGATGTCAGTAACGCCCCCAGTTGTAACAACCAAAAACATCTCTAGACATTGCCAAATATCCTGGGGTACAAAATTGCCCTAGTTGACAACTGCTGTAGAAATAGATTGTTCCTAGTTTTAAATTCAACTGTTAAAATAATTTTATGTATGTGTGTATATATGCATGCATATAACTCCAGACATGCTTAATATATTAGAAATGACTGCCTTTCACTTAGGCAATTAAAATGTTTTGGGGGCAATTATTGAAGTAGCTAGTATTTTCATAAGTCTCTGGGTAAAGGCAAAAAAAAAGAATTAGTGACTTATAACTACCAATAAACATTAATTATCTAAAAAATGCCATTGTCATTTTCATTATCAAAAGTATTGAGAGTTTCTTTTCCTTCAAGGAAAGTTCTCAGTATGACTGTATGAATAGATAAATAAAAAAAAAATCATGTGGAGGCATTATTTGAGATGTACGTGATTAATTATCAGCTTAGGTGCCTAAGGAATTTTTAAATAAGAGAAGGAAATGTAATTTAATGAAATGGACTTAGGAAAAAAACTAATCTGGGTCTGTTTTGACTTTACTATACACTTGTGAATTGATTTGGGACTCATAAAAGGGTTATTCAGATAGACAAATTTCCTGGTCTTTGAAATTCAGTAATAAAAATAATATTCACCACCTTAGTGACTTTTCTGTAAGTCATATATTGATGGATCTAGGAAGAGTACCAGAGAAATAAGATGTAAATCGCCATGACTTTTAAAAGGAAAACAATGGGCCTATTCTCATTTATAGTAATGGTAAAAATATCAGAACATGAAGTATACAAAGAGAATCATTTTTTATGTCAAAGAATATCCTAAATTCTAATCAAACTGCTTTCTTTCCAACAGAGGTTTTCTAATGGGAATTTGCTCAAGACAGTTTTTTTGTTTGTTTGTTTCTTTGTTTGTTTGTTTGAGATGGAGTCCCGCTCTGTCACCCAGGCTGGAAGGCAGTGGCATGATCTGGGCTCACTGCAAGCTCTGCCTCCCGGGTTCATGCCATTCTCCTGCCTCGCCTCCCAAGTAGTTGGGACTAAAGGTGCATGCCACCAAGCTTGGTTTTTTTTTTGTATTTTTAGTAGAGATGGGGTTTCACAGTGTTAGCCAGGATGGTCTCGATCTCCTGACCTCATGATCCACCCGCCTCGGCCTCCCAAAGTGCTGGAATTATAGGCGTGAGCCACCACGCCTGGTCTTAAGAGTTTTTTTAAGTTTTAACATTTATCAATTACATGTTTGAATGTTTAATTCCGCCCCCAACCCCCTGCCCCCAAATCAAGGCATTTACCTAAAAATTCCATTATGGTCTCTGTTTTCACTGTTTGACTTTCCAGGGCCATTGTAAGAATTTAGATTTTCTACTTTTTTTTTTAAACACTCTTCTTTTAAATAGGAATATAACATTTCCTATTTAAAAATGTTATATTGTGTAGATTGTCATTTTTAATTCTTTCAGCTTACATTCAAGATACACTATCTGGCTTAGTGTGGCAAAAGTGAATTAACACATTTTGCATGTTAAGATTGCAACTCAAAGGCCTCAAGACCACGTACTCGGTGTGTTGTGTGCACATACCTAAAATTCCATAGTGGTCCCTATTTTCACTGTTCAACTTTCCAGGACCATTGCAAGAATTTAGATTTTATACCTTATTTTTCAAAACCACTCTTCTTTTAAATAGGAAGGGGTATATTTTGCAGACTGCCATTTTTAATACTTTCAGGATACGCTATTTGACTTAGCACGGCAAAAGTGAACTAACACATTTTGCATGCTAAGATTTCATCTCCAAGGCCTCAAGACCCCGTACTCCGTGAGTTACCCGCACACAATGGACTTCACCCTGGTTGTAAGCCTGACACTGGGCTCTGGGGCTCAGGCAGGCCCTGCACACTTACTCTCTGCAGACTCTTTGGAGCGCCGGCCACTGGACGACTTGCGTAGCAGGCTGCGGCCGGAGGAGAACAGGCTGGTCAGTTCCTCCAGCGGGCTCGTGGGTGTCCGGGACCGGGAGCCACCCGAGGCAGCCCCGTAGGTGTTCACCGCGGCGTTGACCATCTTGGCCCCATCTTGCGACACGGGTCTGGGGGTCGAGTGAGGCACTGAAGGAGAGCTCCTTGAGAGGCTGCCCGAATGCACAGCGTCATAAGGGGGAGGCCTTTTGAGGCTCAGGGGAGTCAGGGACCTCCCCATGCTGACGGGGGAGGGAGAGGTGGAGTGGCTTTTAGGGTAGCCGTGGGGAGACTGGGTTCGGTACAGCGTGGACGGGGGCGGGGGCGACGAGGAGAGCGCAGGGGTGGCAGAGGCAGGTCCCAGGGCCGCGGCCTGCTCTTTCTCCAGTTTCGCATGGCTGGGGACGTGGGACGGCAGCGCGGAGGGTGACGCCCCCGCCGGCTGTTTCATGTAAGACACGTTTTCCAGCACGGGAAGCTTCGTGACCTCCAGAGGGGTGAGCGGGGACTCGTCGGAGTTGGGGGAGCAATGTACGGGGGCGGGGGGGAATACCAGCAGAGGGGGTCTGTGAGAAAGCAGGTTGGGGAAGGGCGGGGGGATGTCACAAAGCAGCCCCTTGGGGGGGCATGGCACTGAGGCCTTGGCAAAGTCCAAGTCAGGCACCGTGGGAGTAGCACACTGCGAAGAACAGCTGTGATGGTCAAAGTCACATTTGGTGTCTTGGCCCAAGTCGTCAAAGATGGGGTACTTCATTTCCTCGTAGACAGCCTCGCTCTGGTCGTCGTCCTCCTTCCTGAAGTCTCTGAGAATGTTCCCCACCATCTCGATGTACACGGGCTCCTCTTCCTCGGGGTCTCCCGCGGGGCTGCCCATCTGGGACAGGGAGGAGTCCCGCGGCAGCGATGTCCTCCGGGGCCCGTGCTTTTTGATGTACGTTTCATCGAAAGATGTGCTCAGCTGAGTGTTCGGATTCCGCTTCGGTTTGGGAGGAGGAATCTTCTTGGAATATTCATCACTGTGGGGTCTTGGTTTAGCTGACACTAAAAGAAGAAAAAAAACGTAGTGGAATAGATGAGTATAATTGGAAAGTTTTCAAAAATGATTTGCATGTGGGTTTACTACAATAAACTTTAGACCAGAGGGGTAGACAGCTTCATTCTTAGTTTGAGGTTCAGAGTAAAAATCAACCAAAGAGTCAAGCATTTCCCATATTTAGAAAACTTGATGGTGGAATAATAGTCATCTTTAAACTGATATTAATAATCTAACACTGATAAATGCATTAAAACCAGGACTGTTCACTCCTTTCCCTTTGAATGCCTGAATAGAAGCTTTCAGATGAAACATATTGGATAAAAGCAATCATAAATTTTGTGAAAACTAACCTGCATGAATTGAGAAAGAAATGCAGGAGCGAAAAAAAAAAAAAAACTAGAGTCTCTGTTGGCACTATTGGTCAAAAATACCATACAGATTGCACCCTTTTGCTGATGTGGTTTTTGCAGGTGAACACATCTTGCTTGCATTTAGGATAAAAATTTCCCAGCCTGCTAGACTTAAAATCTGTCTTGGTTCAAATAAATAGCTTCCATACAGATGGGTCTGATGTTTCAGGGGAAATTGATGTGAAAATCTTATGAGGCTAGACAAGTTAATCTTTAAATCTCCAGGTATTGTTGATTATGGTGTATTTGCCTGTTTTTGTTCTTAAGATATCTTATGATATTCCAAGTGCTATCTCAGAATGAATTTATTAGGTATGTTCCACTGACACATCAGAATGCCCTCGAGAGTTTTAAAAGAGAATAACTCAGGGAACGATGTGTAAGTTTTAAGGATAACTTCTGGAAACTCATAACAGATATGTGTACCAAAGCACTGCACAGCCTGCTGGAAGACCCTTTATTGACAAAACATAAACTTCTGACACCATACAATAGCATGGAAGAGGCTGGCAAATGCCTGTGACTAAAATCAATTGTTTAGCATGCAAGGAAGGTACTTGAGTCTTGTTATTATCTTATTATCTCATTGTGTTGATATATGATTACAGAGATCATCTTTATTATGCAATGTAGCAGAATGTGGTTGCTTACAGAAGATGATAGCATATAGTGTAAGTTGACAGTACAGTTTAGAGTTGTAAGACTATGAGGAGCTAACAGGCTAAAGAGAAGGGTGTCAAGGCACAAATGGGGAAACACCTGAATTTTCCTTTTTTTTTTTTTTTTAACTTTAACTGGCCAAATTTATATACAAGAGTTTTACTAAAACGTGGTAAAGGAGCTGAAAATGATTCAGGATAAGCTAGATGGCTGCTCCACCCATCAACTGAGCCTTCAGCAACAGGGAACCAATCAAATATTCTAGCAGCGACTATGTATTTCACCTTTCTAGATCACTCCTGTTTCAAATATTTTGTTCCAATGTGCCTATGATGATGGTTTTACTCACTACAACCAAACAGCTTTTTGAGGGGAAGGTTCGTAATGTGTCTAGAATTTCCATTAACCCATACTGGGTAGAACTAGAGGTTATTTTCCAGGGGGGCTGTAGCAGTAAAGTCTTTTAATGCCCAAAGTGAAAAGCCTAGAGACAAAATGGGGTGAAAGTTACGCAGTCAATCTTTTTAGGAGGGGCCCAAAGCAACCAATAATTGTACCACCTAACTTGGCATGTATTTTACTGGTTTTGAAATCTCAGTACATTAATTTTCATATGATTTTAATAAGTCATCAGATTATATACAAAAGTCTGAGCCCCAATAAAGTAAAACTGTAAATCAGCGAACAAGGTTTACATAGTTTTGGTCAGGACTTGGAAGAACCAAAGCTCATCCAGACTATTCTTCTGAAACTTGTTTCCTGCCATTTTCAACAGCAAGAAATGACTGTAGACCAAGTACAGGTTCTGGGAAATTATTTTCTACAAATATTGAGTTCTAGGGATTGAATGGAGTGGGGCTGAGGGAATTCTTTCAGGGCAGAGGACTGAAGAGTTAGGTGCTCTATGAAGGGAGGGTTAATCTAAGGCTAGAATTTAGTGTGTGTCCCTGAGATGGGTAATTTCATCATATGGAAATAATCACATTTAGAATTATGTTTTCATTTTTTACCCTCTTAAATTATAATTTACTTTCATTATCTTTGCCCCTTCACTAAAGTCTGATACTCCAGAATAGACTGCGGAGAGAAATAACAAGGTAAGAACTTAAGCATCTGCTAAGCCTATGCCTAGAGAGCAGCACTGGATTTATGGGAGACTACAGTGTGGGATTCCCAGGTAGTAAGGCTGTCAGTGGCAGATCTGGGCATGGTACGGTATTCAGAGAAGCAACAGTTGATTAACACTGGCGAAAACTTCTCTCTTTCCCACACAGATGAGAAAGTGGCCTTTGGAATGGAAGGGAGCTATGTTTGGATTTACTCCAATTGTGAGCAAATGCCATTTCATTTTGTTTGCCAAAAGAAACAGAAAAAAATTAAATAAAACCCCTCTATATCTATGAAATGATTTAAGAAAGAGAAGTTTCTATTGCAGAATGCAGCATACTTAAAATTAAGTAGAACAACTACTAATTGAGAAGGAATCTAGACAATCCATTTACGAACAATTTCAATGACAAACCAAGTATAGATGTTGTATGACAAGGGAAACAAAATATAACATCTTATGGTGCCTGTGAGATTATCAGAGTTGACAGTTGCTATTGACTGAATTGGGTCCCCATTCTTCCACAAAAAAGTCATCTGTTGAAGCCCTAACTTCCAAAGTGATGGTATTTGGAGATAGATCCTTTGGGAGATAATTAGGCTTGGATGAGGTCATGAGCATAGGACCCTCATGATGTGATTGATTATAAGAAGAGACAGCAGAGTTCTCTCTCTCTCTCTCCCCTCTCTCTCTCTCTTTCTCTGTGTGTGCATGCGTGTGTACGTATGCCATATGAGAACAGAGAGAAAGCGTCAGTCTAATCAGTCTACAAGTCAAGTAGAGAGCCCTCACCAGAAACTGACCATGCTACTATCTTGATTTGGAACTTTTAGCCCCGAGAACTGTGAGAAAATTTCTCGAATTTAAGCCACTCTCTAATTTTGTTACAGTAAAACAAGTTTAGTTACTTAAGACAACATTATATTTATTAAGTCCTAATGTAAAAGACCTTTACAGATGAACAATGAACATTTTAATTTCATCCTCTGGGATTGGAAAACTTTGACTTTGTTATTTTAGGATTAAACAACTCTTTCCAAACCCCTTAAGTTTCTCCTGCTCCCTGTCCCCTACCTCCCTTAACTTTTACAACTATGTCACAGAGAGCACATTCTGGCTACATCTAGAGATGCTCATCCCATACATGGGCCAAGAGCACCCTTCCACCACATGGCTTGTCATGCTCACTCTTTTGATCTGACTCTCTGATTCTGGTTTCTAATTTGTGGAAGACACTTACTACTTAAATCTGACCCATTCTCTGGATGTTTGCTCTTTGTTGTTTGTTTTGATACTCTTACTCCTGTTTCATGCTGCTCTGCTTGTTCAGTCCACAAGCTGAAGTTAGTCTCTAGTCTGCCTTGCCATGGAAATCCCTCTTTATCTAGGCAAGCTTCTTCTCTCTTCCCTTCCCTGCTGGTGAAGAGATCCTAATGCAAGCAGATTCATAAAGTTCAATCAATTTCCCCCCCAGTCCTTTTTATTATTATTGATCCAACTTTAAAATGAAGGTGTGAGTGTGGGGTAAAATGGCTCATGCCTGTAATCCCAGTACCTTGGGAGGCGGAGGCAGGTGGATTACTTGAGGTCAGGAGTTCGAGACCAGCCTGGCCAACATGGTAAAACCCCATCTCTACTAAAAGTAAAAAAATTAGCCAGGTGTGGTGGTACATACCTATAATCCCAGGTATCTCAAGAGGCTGAAGCAGAAGAATCGCTTGAACCCAGGAGGCAGAGGTTGCAGTGACCCAAGACGGCACCACTGCACTCCAGCCTGGGTGACAGAGCGAGACTCTGTCTCAAAAAAAAAAAAATTAAATTAAATGAGGGTGTGAAGATGTTTTGAGAATAGACTCTTCAGTAAATTATAGATGATCAGGATGAATTGACAGATTCATTCTTTCAATATGGGGGCAGGGGTTTCTTTAAAAAAAAAAAAAATCTGCTTTTCATTCCCTGACATCCATCCTTGTAATCTGATGGTTCTTTGTGGTAAATCAGAGGAGGAAACAAATTTGTTTCCAATAAACTAATTTTTCTTTTCATTTTCCATGAATCATCTTGTTCTACCTTAGTGCAAGTATTGAGTAAATAATTTATATAACAATGAAAATGTGTTTCAACTGTTACTATCATGGGTGCTGTTTTAAAAGTACATCTATGTAAGAAAAGTATGAAATTTCAGACAACATTGTCCCATAATTTATTCCAACTTAACCTCATTCTAGGAACTTAAAATTTTTTTAAAAAACCATTTTATTTAAAATGCCACTTCTTTATAAGGTACTTAAAAATAGTCTTGTGCTACATACATAGATGCTAAAATATTGCTAATAAAAGATAATAAAATGGCACTGCAAATTTCAACATTTAACCAAATTCAACCATAATAAAAAGGTGATTTTCATCACTCTTGAATACATTTTAAATTATTTCTAATAAGCCCAAAGATAGAAGCAATAATTCCTGTTAAGCTCCAGAACACAAGTTTTAATGCTTAAAATAGTATAATGACAGTAGCATTTAATAAGCAGAAAGTGACATTTTTGAAATGAGCTATGTGAGCACAAAGGTTATACATGGCTTTCAGTCATGCCCAGATGATCTTCCTTTCACAGTTAATTTTGGAAATTCACCACGTGCCTTGTCAACCTATCTTTAGGAAATACTTTTTTCCTTATTAAAAAGAAAGTGTAATGTAAAACCATGCTTTAGTATCTGTAGGTGTTCTTGACCCAAGAGGTGAAAAAAAAGAGATACAACAGAGGTTAGCCTTGTCCCTTCCTAGAAAGACTGTGGCCACAGAATCCCAGAATACAAAGGGCTC